GAGATAAGCAAATCTTCTCATTAACAAATTAATTGTCTCCTGCAAACACCACTCCCCTTTTGCTCCTCTTTTTCCCTATGGTAAGGGCCATTCACTGTCCACATGTGTGTCTTTACTCCTGAGTCGGCCCTATTCCTTAACTGTTCCCCTCTCCTGGGAGCTCTGCGCATGTGCACATGGGGAATAGGCTCCACCTGTTCTTCAGCCTCACTTATCTCTGACTCCGAAGGTGGCTGATAATTGTCAGACAGCCCTGACCCCATCTCTGCCTCTGACACAGAGCATTCATCAGAGCTTTTCCTAGACTCCAGGACTGGCCCATGTTCCTCCCCAACCTCCTCACTGTCTGAATCTGCTGCCAGCTCCACTGGCCATTGACGGGCCACAACACCTATTTTAAAGCAATACCCATGATGATGTGGTTTAGAACAATCCCAGAAAACTAATAAGACACTGATGGACACAAATGAGAACTGCAGTTATATTTCATGGCTATTTTCATGTAGAATATTAAATCCACATCTTTATTTTACCAAAATGATATGAGCCATACACTTCACTAGATAAATCTCAAAGAAAAACTTGAATAATCTGATCCTTTCAGTAAAATTCCAGTAAATTATTCCAGTAAGAACTATTCTAATGTGCACCCCCCAGTCTGACTGCAAATTCATAGTGATACTAGTTACCCACCCACCCCCTGTACTTTTTAAATAAAGTTAACAAAAGCACTGAATTGAAACACATTTTAAAGCTAAGTAGCAAAACATTTTTTAAAATATGTAGAAGATATACGTTTAGTGGGGAAAAAAGAATGTGAATGCCATTACTTTTGAAAATCATATTTAAATATGTATTCAAATGCAAATTTTTTGTGTAGGTAATGACAACCATGGTAATGATTTTGGCAGGTGACTATGACAATGGAATGCTTGGAACATAATATAATTGAAAATACCCATAAATAACAGGCCCAGAAATGAAGCTACAACTTTCTAAAATTATTTAAAGTCTAATATTTTGTATTCTAGAACCAAGGAGCAACTCAAACTTTAAAAGTGTTTCCAAGTAAGGTAGATGGTTCTTTAGGGAGAATATAATCCACATCTGACATGTAGAACATAGAATAACAGAATTGGAAGGGACCTTTGGAGTCTTCTATTCCCACCCCCCTGCTTGAGCAGAGGATGGGAATAGGTTGCTTCACTGCTGGATTAGTTTCCATCCATTGTTTCTTGTCTTGCTTTCTGATGCTTTGGAAAATAGTTTNTTTTGTAACCAGCTGATACACTTTCTACAATATGTAAAGAAGGAGTTGTATGTTTGTTTTGAAAATAATTTTTTAATTTTTTTTTATAAAAAAAAATAAAATAAAATTGCAAAAAAGAGCACCTGTTTGCAGACTAGCATGGATGCTGCCAGGAGGGCCACCTTTGTAGGAAAGCTGAGTTTTGCATTGCATTGGTTGGGCATCTGACAACCCGCTCAACTTTGCAGCCATTTGCAGTATCTTGTGGTCATATGACTGCAATTTTGGTCATTTTTTAAAAAAAAATTTGGAGGACTGGTTTCCAGCATTTACTTCTGGTTTCCAGAAAAACGTACACATTTGATAAAAACATATTGGCTTAATGACCACCACATTCACTTAATGACCACCAGAAAAAAGTTGTAAAATTGGGTGTGGTCACAATTGGGTGTGATCAAATCAGCCACCGCTTAACAACCACAATGACTTACCATTGTAAGTCTGTGCTTAATTATGATTGTAGGCCAAGGACTACCTGTACAGTATTTCAGGCAAGCAGTAACTCCATATCCACATGGAAGCATATCTAACACTTTTATTATGGGAAACTGACCAAAATGAACACATTCACACTTATAGAGCCTTATATTATGTCTCAAGAAGGAGATAACTACCTTGTCTATGCATGTACAACCGCTATCCATTACAGCAGAAACCCAATGATGTATTTATTCATTTTCATTATGGATGAAAAATTGTAATAGTAAGAATCAGGCGACCAACCATTAATGATACCGTTATATCATCAGCAGTAACAATGATAAATGAGAGGGGTTGATCGAGAATTATTAAGTGAAGCCCTGAGTTGAAAATAGTTTGAAATACATTTTTGATGATCCCCAGCAAGATAGATTTCATTATTGACAGTGTGATAATAAAGTAATTACTGGGAGTTTTACTTGCCCATAATTATGGGGAAAATTTAGCTCTATGTGGACATTAAACAACTGGGCTAAAGCTTTCATTGAAAGAACTTGGAAGCTGTTTTGCACTTGATACTAAAATGCTCTATCCTTTCCTCTCCCCCCCACTTTTTGGCTCATCATTAAATGTGTTGAATGCTGTGTTTTTTTTTAAATCTGGGGGGAATATGCAAGACCTGTAATATTTATAAACTGAACAGCTACGCATCTCAGGGCCATTTCTGTTATATGTATTATTTATTTCCTGGCCTTCCTCCCTCATCCTTCCGTGCAAATGTTTCCTTAAGAATCGTGATTAATAAAACATACCCTTATGAATAGGGCATGCTCATTTCCCAACTGTAGTTATTTCGATGCGACAGTCGTAGGAGAGAATTCAAAAATCACAACAACAACAACAACAACANCAATATGCTGACTTTGCAAACTGCTTAGAGACGCTGTAAACGCATTGTGGAGTGCTACATATGTCTAAGTGGTATTGCTAGTGCTATTTGATGTGTTCAATCACCTGCCATGTTTAAAATAGGCAAAGAAAATGCTTCAAGGCTGCTATATTGATATGCAAGTAGCATTGTAGTTTAGGCACATAATTTGTTTAGAATTTTGGAAGTTGGCTCTAAGCTGGGTAATGAATCAGTATAGAAATATAGCCATGTTGACAAGCCTGCTAGCTTTCCAGCCTGTATTCCCAAATCTTACCAGCTTCTGCAGTGATGTCATCTAAAATTAGCTAGCTGCTACTTTGTGGCTGGATATATTTCTGCATAGAATGCTGATAACTTAAGGCAGGCAATGTGCCAGCTAAATAATGCTGCACTACTTGGATACTAATGTATGTTTTCGATAGATCCATTTAAACCCACATCTTTCCTCTGCATATTTGCAGACCAAAAACCAATGCATAAGGATCCCCCCTGCCCCCGAAATGCTATTTAGGAAATATGTAGTCTCACTGTTATGATAACAGCCCTTGATGGAGTAACAGTACAACTGGACACTTAGGGAAAAACCAAATGATGCTAGCCTGGGACCATACATAGTACAGAGTTGTTTCCCTCTTTACTTCCCAGCATATTAGATTGTGGCAGTTTACCCAACATCTGTTTTGGAGAAAAAAATGCATCAAGTTATAAAAGCATAATTTATGTACTTTTATTGGGAAAGTATTTTGCAAATAATTGTACTGTGAACAGATTTGCAATGGGATAGCCCTACAAGGCTGGTGACAAAGTGCTTTAGGATTATTAAAATAAACAACAATGAAAATATGACATACATCCTATAAATAAATAGAGATGGTGAAGATCAAATAAACACAGAACACAAAATTGCATATTTTGAATATACATCCATCTGGTGCCCAGGATCACGATTAACGTTTACTGGTTTCTGCAACATTTCTGAGATATCCAACCTGCTTCCAAATATGGGAAGCCAGATGTTTTGAAATGATTGACAAACAGGCAATTATTTATTAATTTGGAGGGCTGGCGACATATAGTTGTGGATACCACAGTGATCTTCATCTGAATGTGGTGTGCTCACAAATTATTATCATCAAAAACTGGACTGCATCTGAACTTAGCTATACTGTCTGTTACTTAGATAAGATCATGATGGGTACTGGTGTTTCTATGAAAACAAATATAATATTTAAAGGAACAGTTTTCCAGTCCGCCTGTGAAAGCTGGTGATTGAGAAACAATGAAAGAAAGACAGTAGACAACACATTTTGAATCTAGAAATGTTCATTAAGAATACTGCCGATTGGAAGAAGAACCAATCACTTATCCTGGGCCAAATAAACACTGTGTCAGGCCTGCAGTGGTTCCTTTAAGAATCTTTGGCCTGCCACAATCTCATTAGGGGGGGAATTAGCAAGGGGTAGAATGTGTTGTTTTCAAAATAAAAAATTCCTTCCTAGAAGCTCAAGGTCA